TACCAGAGAATGAGTGAATAGACATTTATTTGTATCATCGTTTCTCCGCCTGATCTCAGTAGCTGTTTACTCGTAGTTTCAAATTTATGTGAGGTCAGATAAAATAGTAACTAGCTCATCTAATTTAGGTAACGTCAACTATTCAACAGTTTGACTGAATGCACTCTAATACGTCGTTTCCTTTTCTCCATGTGCTTTCGAGTTGGCTGCAGCTACTGGTATGTGATATGTAGTGTATTTGCGTATTCTATTTTGCATCTGCAACCAGGCATCGCTTTTATCGGACGTGAACATTGAATTTGAAAAATATTAAATGAAAATAATGATAGTTAGGTTACAAAACTTCCAATAAGTGTTTGATATCTGTAGATCGTTTATGTGTTGCTTTTATTTCTTTAATCATTAGTGATTTTGCTCATACCGTAAAACAATTTCCAGAACAATGAATCAGTGATCACGAAGCTCTTTTATTTTATTTCACCATCTAAGCAATAACTGACAATAATTGATAATGTAGCCTTTCCAAACAACCACTTTCCGATTCCTCTTTCTATAATATTCAAACTACTACAATATCCATGTTTGTTATAGTCATTTTTTATAAATCTATGAGCAGTAGCCACGTGCAAGTCAGTCTATTTTTTATTGTAATTGCGACAATTGGAAAATAAGGTTGAGTTGACATTAGAAGAATTATAATTGGAAAAGTTTGAAGAGGTAAGAAGGGGATGGTAATGATTGGGAGATGATTAATGATGTGGGGATGATTAAGGTATTGTAGAGGATTTSTTCCGCCACTTGAACGTTAATTGGAACTTTATTTTTCCCATTTTCTCGTCATCGATGTGGGACAATGGACAAAGACCACGAAGACGATGACGATGATGATGGTGAGGGTGAAGATGATAATGATGACGGCGGTGGCGGCGTTGGAGTTGGAGCGGATGATGATGATGATTGTAATGTGGTGATGATGATTATGGTGCTTATGACAAATGATGATGATAGTCATAATCATAATCACATCATTTACGCCGCAAAAAGGCACATAAGATGGTCAAACAATAATCGTAAATAAGAATGTTTACTGTTTAACATGTCGTGCGTTAGTCGCATACCCCAAATTCACTGACTGTTTAATCGCTGTGTAATAAGRGATGACGAATCAAAAACCATGACTTATATATTCATAATTAAAGTCGATGTTTAAATAGTCTTAGAAATATGCTCTGAAGGTGGTTGTCGAACTTGTATGCTATCATATCTCAAGCAGTGGGTTTTAAAATACATATCGTCTTATTCGTCTTGTTGTTCTTGGATACTTCTTTMGATCCAGGTAAGCTTTATGTTTGCCATACATTTGTTAATATAGTTTTTATTAATAGTGTGTGAGGTCCGTACTGTAAGTATAGATAAAATGTTTTGCTGGAGATGAAATGAGAAAAAAAAATCCTGCATGTTTGAGCCTCTCGACAATATATGTTAATCGTGCTACAGAAAAAAAAAACTCCTGCACGTATGAGCTTCTCGACTATATATTGATGTTTTAGTTTGTTTTATGGTTCGTGGCCTTTATTATATTTCTCAAATCATTCATGCCATGTAAACGGTCATATAATCAGAGAGGAAGCTTTACCAAACTAGATATGATAAATATTTACAGTATTACTTATATAGACCGTAATATACGAAAGAACATAAAGAAAAATGGAGAAAGAGGAAAGTCTAACCATTTTTAGATGTAAAATAGGTAGCAGTTTCTCCTCAGTTACTTTAAGACGCTGATTGTTGGTCCGGCTGGAATTCGAACCACGACCTCCCGCACGAAAGTCAGAAATGAGCATAGTTAATTGTCTACTTTCACATCCCCATAATGCCTTGCGTTTTTGGGGGGTAACCAATCAAAAAACTGTCCCAAATTAAGGTTTCTTAATTGAATTTATACTATATCTGCTTTTATCTGTACAATACTGATTATCAATTTATTCCAAGTCATTTTTGCGTGTACAGATCATGAAGAGTTTTGGTCTTACAGAAATTGTATTGACTTACGAAAATTTTTTTAAAATTTACCTTAAACGTCTTCAAGCTTCTATCTTTTTCTGTATTTTACTTCATTTTATTTTTGGATACCAAACAAGGTATTTTCAACATTGTCTGATCAGCCTTCAGCAAAATAAGTGGGTTTTTACCCTCTGGTTACCCCCGAAGACGCAAAGGATTATGGGGATGTGAAAGTCGAGAATGGGTCTCCACTAAGGAGGCTGGAAAGTGTTTTGTGCCTAGCTTCACATTATGAACTAAAAAATAATAATGACTATAATATGATAGCAAGTAAACCTGTAAAGCCAAAGACCATAAACCAAACATCACAATGGACATKAARAAATGACGTAAGACGTTGCTATGACAACATCCAGAACGCAGAAAAAAGTCTGTAAGAGGGAACTATTCCCAACAAATTTTACCACAGGTAAGCTTGGTTTCTGTGGTGTCATGTTATAAGGAAATTGGGATTCATCATAAATTTCAATAAAATCATTGAAACGTGAAATAAGGCCTCGAAATTTTACCCGATCATTGAGAAATAGCACTTTTTTCGCTCTGTGTGGTTATTTTTTTAATTCAGCCCGTTTAAGGATTTTTTCCCCCACCAGTAAGAAATAAGAGAAGGTTGGAGACTCGAGTCCCAAAAGCGAACCATCACGAGTCTTTGAAACCTCGTAGGTCTTCGAATTTCCTTTCCAGCGCAAAATTTTAGTATAACCCTTCTCGCACATCCCTATAGAACCGAGAAAGTCGCATTAGAGATTAGTSTACGTGCCTTTAAGCCATGAAATTTGCYTGTATTCACATACTACCTGGCTTGTTCTGACCCGTACTTGGAGCTCACTGTACACCAGTTCAACGGATTTCATTCGGCAACCGACCCGAGGTCACGCCGGAAGTCTTCGTATCGTAAATGTGGATTTGGAGATAGTCTTTCTTCGAAATTATAAGTTAAATACTTTTGTATCTTAGGCCGTTAAAAAATACACTCACCATAAYTTTGAAGAAAGACTATATCCAAATCCGCATTTACGATAAATTTTCATTGATTATCAATTCTTCCCATAACAGGATCCTCGTCAACCGTCCATGTACGTTTGGTGGATACCGCTGTACCTAACGCTGGTCGAGTGRAAATAGGTTACAAAGGTGTATGGAAATCTGTCTGTGACACCGACTGGTATTTCAGTGTGGCCAATGTCGCGTGCAGAATGCTGGGGTACAACCAAGGTGCTGCAGCTGCCATCCATGGAATGGCAAGTCCTGATGAGCCCTGGCTCTTGTCTTTTTTTTTTTGCGAAGATCAAAAAGCAAGCATTGTTTCCATCGACAAGTGTACGATCAGCAATTCAACAACATGCCCAGATGACAGACGAGYCGGTGTGGTTTGCATTAGAGGTAAAATGCTGTTACACTAATATGAATTTAAGCACTACATAATAAAGGGGAGCTCCCTGTGTTGTTTTGGCTTGCAACGCGAAGTTCCGAGTGTAAAAACCAAATGCTCTGTTTCAAACCGTTTTCATAGAACTCACATGCCTCTATCGTATAAAACGCACTATTCGTCTCGCTTCAATTCCATGCAAAGAGAAGAGGCTACTTTTCAAGATGGCGCAAATTTCCTTGTTAATTTTACTTTAAGGTGGCTCGACCCCCTCACGCTTGACCGCTACCTTCCACTTTTGGAACGCTAGTGCATAAACGTCTTTTATCCTATTGCAAATTTTTTTTGCACATAAGACACATAAAGATTGAATTAATGTTTGATGCAGTTTTTTATGAGATCGGACGTCATAACACGTGATTATGATGAAATATTTGATTTCGTTTAGAAAATAAWTTTAGCCTTGCAGAGCGTTCAACACTAAAATGCTTCGTACCACATAATTATATACTAGATGCCTCCATTTRTGGGGATTTTTAAAAAAATCTATCTAGCTAATTATGTGTGTATAATACATCTTATTTTTCCTTGACCTAGTAAAGCCATGGACATATACTTTCCCTGGCTCTTCAAAATCCAAAATGGTGGACGCTTCAGATCTAATGTACACGCGTTACACTAACACTCTTCTGAGAGACACATGCGTGACGTTATGCATGCCAAACAGCAAAGAGAGTACTTGAGGATCAGCCTAGCATGGAAACAGCAGTTGTTGCTTCAAATTATAATGCACAACTTCTTGAAATTCTATTCGACCCTAGAGGAGCTTAGAATTCTATACGCATGCGCATATTTGAGGACATCATCTACATTCAATGAAATAATCATTATAATGAAATTCCTATTGATTTGAAATTCTTTTCGGCCCTATAAGACCAAAATTTCCATACGCATACCTTAAAGGACAAAATACAAAATATAGAATTGGAGGACATCATCGAAATTCAATTAAATAATAATTGTATAAAAAATAATGAATGTATTTGATTTTTGTTTTCTTCTTCTACTTCTTCTTCTTCTTCCTTTCTTTCTTTCTTTCTTTTTTAACGGTATACATTTTTTCCATTCAAATCCCTTTGACATCGTTGTCTTTGTTYAAGAAGATCGATTTGATGCATGGGAGAATAAGCGAGGAAAAGAGAGAAAAAATGAGCCAAGAAATGCCACTCATTTGGCTTCCAAACCGTACCTTGTAAAGTTTGTGCAGAAAGCCGGCACTAATGTACAACAATTTATCAAAAGCACGCTCGTCGACTCCGCCATATAAGCTAAGCATTTGATGAAGCATAAATCTCTCGGTACCTTTTATATTTACGATTGGCGGCAGTCAAAACGAACTTTACAAAAAACCGTTTAAATGACTGCGTTTGCAGAATATCGAAAATCTAATATTTGGCCAGAAAACCAGCTAGACCTCTCATATTCAACTCAAACAAATGAAGTCAGTTTCTCTCAATTTCTCTTCTAACCAAGGCTACCAAACTAAAAGAAAATACAAAGAAAAGTCTTGACAGAGAAACTTTGTCATTTACTGTCATGCCGTTTGCATCAGAGTCAGAAGTGACGCAGCAGCAAGAGTCGGCGGCAAATTAAACAATAGCCATGTGTTGTTTTTTTTTTTTTTACATTATGCTTGATAAGTAATTTAGAGATATTAACATAATTATCTTAATTGCCACTGATTCTACTCATGTTGGTTATTATGATCATGGCTATCTTTACGTTTATTTTCATTTCAGTTACTGTGATATGTGGTTTTTAGCAATCGCTTTTTCAGCCAAGTTTGCTGCATCTACTGCAGAGCCCCAAGAAAGCAAAACTCCGTTCCCACCATGCCCATAGTTGTGAATTAATGCTGGACATTCCGGGTCGATCTCATTACGGATTTCATCCTTTCGAGCTGGGCGTATCCCAACAATAACTTGTTCCACATCTTTATATTCGAATGCTCGCAGTGGGGGAAAAAAGCCTTGGCGTTATCGAGAATTTTTCTAGCAAGTTCATGGCTCATATCAGCTTCTGCAATATCTGTTCTGTTTTCTTCAATACTACCACCGATCCAAATACTGTGGTTACCTGTTGACAGAAAGACAAGCGAATGATTGATATAATCATCAGTTATTTTCGATGATCATAATTATGTTCATAAATTTTAACAAACCTTTCAGCTGGAAAATGAGGAAACGTAAAATATAACACACATGCTACATTGCATGCAGATGGAAAATCACACTGATGTCCTTTGTAATTATGATCAGTCATTTCGTAATGGATAAAAAATAACAAATAAAAACAAAATAAATTAATTAATTTGAAAAAATCAAGGATGCAGCATGTTTCAACAAGCTCCGGTCTTGAGGATGGCAGGTTGTATGACAGTAACAAACAATAACCCTCTGTCAATCAAAGTATAAAAAGACCATGTTTGTCTATGTGTGGTAAGTCTAATTCGACTAGCGTTTTGTGAATTATCCTTGAGCTTTTAAATCTGTTATACAGTCGCAGCTCGTGCCTCGGGTGTAATATAAAAACCGCTTTTATACGCCTTGTGTTTTTAAATCTGTTATGACAATCATATAATTGGCTCGAAAATGACGTCTTTCTTGTGATTGGTTCATAACAGATGATGTGCAAAATCTTTCAATGTAGAACCCAAAATGGTGCAATTTAGGCTGCATTCACTCCTGCAGGGAACCAAACAGATTGCAAAACTTGCTAGTGATTTCAAAATGGATGTAATATGAAGAGTAAAAATGTCGACCATGGCCGAAAACAGTGCCTCAATTTATATTATGTTTAGCATCGAACCGCTTAGAATTATCTCACAGTTTCATATGTCTACCAAGTACATAATATATGTGTTGTGCACAAAAGTTCCATATAGTTTTAGGGTTTACTGCCCTTTAATGAGTACTTCACGAAACAGGAATAATTCTTGTTTTGCCGATAACTGCGGCTGTCGTCCCCATATCAATAGTTATAAAATAAATTAAATAGTACGCACGCTGTGATTGGTTGATA